GTCATACTATTGGGTGGTCCTTCGCAGCCAAGGGGTTCTGGGGGCCTGTATACAGACTGCATTATGCTGTAATGTCCAGCCCCAGCAACACTACTCATGACTTAACATAGTGGGTTCTGATTGGCTGGGCTAAAATATCAATGAACTTTGGACTTTGATTTTCGAATCGAAATAATATTTTCTTGACACTTGATGTTCATTGTAAATTTTACTTCTCTGTATGCTTCAAACTACTAAATTTTCGATGAAAAATGTTTCTGAGGTGTTGCAGATTAATATGTATATCCAACTGAACAAATGAAATGCAACAAGGAGTTGAGAATAACGGCAATTCCTGAGCGTGATCTGATTTGTTTGCGTTACCTTCAGATGAAATTCACGGTCCGAACTTTGTTGACCTTTGAACTCAGCCAATCAAAATCTATTAACTTTAACTATGACCAATCAGAATCAAATACCCAGATCTGCGTAGCGCTGTCGTGGGTCGCAAGCAATGTCACGAATTTTCACGGACAGTATAACCGAAATATAGTCTGTACACTGGCTACAATATTGATGACGACAGTAAGGGAATGTTCATTTAATATGACAAGGGGGGGGAGTAAAGATTCTGAGGGGGGGCATTAGAAAAAATTTAGTGCGGCAAGGGGGGGCTTTAAAATTTTTGAGGTTACGTAGGGGGGGGGCTCTTGTTTTTCCAACTACTTTAACTACCTATTTCCAGTTAATATGTGATAGTGTATTTTGAATGTTTAGGTCTATTTAAAGACAATATTAAATAAAACTGATTAAGGAGTGACAGGTTATATTTAATAGTCACTATTTTCATCCATTTCAAAGCTGTCAGACTCATCATCTCCAGGCTCTGTAATCTCGTCATCCACTTCAGAGCCATCTGAGAGTTCACTTTCAGACTCCAGGCTGGTCCTTTCCTCCTGACTCTTTACTGTTGTGGCCTTTTTGGCTGCTGCTCTTCTTGCCAGAAGTATATCTAGAAGTCTTTTTGCCTCTTCCATGTCATCAACTGTGCCTTGAGCAATCAAGTATTCGATGGCTTTTATGTGGAATCTGGGTAGGAGCTGTATACTCCCCAGTTTTTGTGTGCTAACTTTTTGAGTGTTTCCTTTATAAGAAAGGCATCAGCAAATTCTTTTCCATGTATTTTCAATATAAGCTTGTAAGCTTGTTTCTTTCCCATGTATCCGAACGATCCCAAATATTCCGCAGAGTTTAGAGGCACTTGTACCCGTGTGCATGATGACACAAAACTTTTTGTGGAAATGACAAATGCAGATGACTTAGCAAATGTAACCTCTTGCAAATTTCCCGAAAACCCGTATTGTCAGTACGAGAAAGAGAGACTCTCGCATTTAATGATTCGCTTGGAATCATCCTTGTCTTTGTGTGGTCGCTTCAATCTAAACGAAGCTGAGTTAAAGCTACTTGCAACAGCAATGATCCCTATAAAGTTGACTGATATAATTGATACTGCTAAAGCTCTGCGTGACAATTTCCCTTCAGAAGCACATCAGGTGCAGCCGAAATACGATGCTCTTTTGAAAAAAATGCCATTCTCTTCTTGAGGAGATTGCAGAGCTGAAGTTTCCGCCTGTGAAACCAAGATGGGCGGATTTTACCGACGCTGGACCTGGAGTTGCTTGTAACAATTTCGAAGTACAGTTCAGGGATGCTGAGTTGGCGATTATCTATAACAGTGACTATCGGATCAGACTGCATTCTTCCAGGGGTAATTCGTCTGATAACGAGGCCGAGAGAACTAACAGCGCAATCGGCGACAGTATCGTAGATGGCGCAACACTCCAGTGGAACAAACATAAACGCTTTGATGGACTAAGTGATGAAGATATAAGTAAACTGACTGTGAAAGAGTTCGAAGAACACGAGACGGATAGAATGGAGAAGAATGCGTGGTACTGTGCTAATGAAATTCGCAATAGCGTTGATGGGGCACCAGTGTTTAACGAGTTTATTAAATGTTATTTAACTCCAAAGCATAGCCCTTTCTTTTTCAACAAAATATACTTAAAACAATTTCAAAGTTGTACTGCCGCTGAGTCAAAACAACAGGTTCCTGGTTACCACTATATAACGAATGTTTTAAACTTCAAGGCCGTAGGAAGCTCTTTTCGATTGGGGTGGCTGAAAGCGAGGGCCGAAGGCCCGAGGAAATTTTTAAATTTAGAGTCTCTAAAATGCCATTTCCTGGACTTTGGGAGAAGATTTAACAGAATTCTGATAGTCAGAAAACAGCGTTTTAGTATGTCGAAATTTACGGGAAAGTATGGGCCAGACTGTAGTATTATAAATGCGCGGCGGGAATTTTCGTCGTAAATGGCAGTTGCGCGGAAATGAAGGCAGAATATTTGAGAAAATTTCGAAAATCTGGAGTCTCTAGATGGTCTGAAATGGCATTTTCAGAGTTTTCTTTCGCAAGACCCAACACGCAAAAGACAAAATAAATCATTAGTTCATCAAAAATGTGCAGATTTTGTACGTGGGATTTTCTTGAAAATGCGCGACAGAAATTCAGCTAAAATTTCTACGCGAGGAACGATCTGGAGTATGAGTAATATCTTCATTCTTTGCAGTTTGTCACAGATTAAATGATAAAGTTTGCATGATTTTGAAAAAAGAATGATTATTAGCAAATTATTGGGGGGGGGGGCTGCAGCCCCCAGCCCCCCCGGTTGCTACGGCCCTGAACTTTATTGAAAGACACTACAGAATTGGTGAACTATATATGGAATATATAAGGGACGGATGTCGGGAAAATGGAGAGGTATGCAAGAAATGTAGTGAAAAGGACTGGGTTGGACCCAGGTTCTCCAGAGTTCCTGCCCCGTATCCAAATCCTGATAAGCCAGGGCATTATATGAGTGTTTTCAACACACCAACCACAGACAATTAATAACGGGCAGTTAAGGGAAGTGGATGATGTCGCTCCCAGGGCAGTGATAAAGCGTCTATATAAAGCTGGCACGATCTCGTCGGACAATGTCGAACAACTTAAAGAAGTATCCAGTTGCTATTGTGTTGAAGAGAAGGATGTCGCATCATATGTTAAACACCTTGAAGAGTTGAAAATGATGTCTGATATCAGGGAAAACGAAAGAAGAAAAAAACGAGAAAAAGAGTGCAGCAAAACCTATGAGGACTACGATTGGAATACCCTCATTGATTCAGGAAAACTAAATTCATTAAAAGTGATGGAACTTGACAAGTACCTTAAGAGACACGACCTGTCCACTATCGGAAAAAAAGAGGATAAAATCAAACGAATTAAAGCAGATTTCTACATAAATAGGACCAACGACGCAGCCATTGATGCAGAAACTTCAGATGATGATACTTTGTCAGGAGATGGTGAATCCGATTCTGACGATGATGAAGTACTTCAGATAATTCCACAAGGCGATGAAGACGACAATTCAACTGAGGGAATGTCTGAGGATTCTGATGAAGAGATTGCAAATTTGCCAACGATACGCAGCAGAAGAGCAGCTAGTTTTCCACATGCAAGATACAAAGACTATTATGTTTATTAACTAGTTAAAATCAGGATAACGCCCAGGTATCTTTAAGATATTTTGGATGTAGTTATATATGAGTATTATTAAAATTGAGCAAAGGAAGAAGGGGGGGGGGGGTCTTAATTTTTAGGGATACTTACAGGGGTGGCTCACAAATTTCAGCGCAATGTTGCGATGGGCTCCTAAAAAAATCTTGTAAGCAATACGAAATCTTCACTCCCCCCTTGTCATGTTAAATGAACATTCCCTAATATACTTGCTACAAGTTGTTCCGCCGACTTGTTAGATGCAGACAATATCAGACTGACTTGTTGGAACAACTTGTTGCGAGTCTGTTGGCCTCGTCGACCTTGTTACAAGATGATAAGAACTTGGTCCAGACTAAAAAAATATGTGGGTTTCCGGTTTCCACCCTACCCAGCTTTTGGACGTCGAAATCCCGACCCTAAACTTTTTTATTGGATCATGCTTGTAAGTGTTTCCACTTAGAGGAAAAAGTTTGTGGAAAATTGAAATTTGAGGCAATATTAGGGAAATTTATCTTTGGATGTGGAAGCACTGACTAAACAAAATGGCGCCAGTTGTTCGGAAAATAAAAAAAAAGTTTAAAAAAAAGTTAAAACCGACCTACCCTACCTAAGTTTTTATAAGAAGAAACCGGAAATCCACATATATATATTTTTTGGCCCAACTGGAAACAAGCAGAGCGAACCCAAAATTGGCTACCATTGACTTCATTTATACATAGAAGATGCACTACCCAACAAGGGGGAATTTCGTTCTCGACCAATCAGCGCTTTTGTTTACATTTTTGCCCTAAGCCAATCAGAATGCGTAAAACCCTTCATTACATGAAATTTGTAAACAAAAATATGGGGTTACTTCAGAGCTTTTCTGCAAGCGGTTTTTTGGGGTTTTGCCATGAAATTCATATATGTCGTTCTTAAAAGAATTCTCCTCAACTTCCTCGTGGCGATTTTTGATTAATTGCGTGATTGCGAAAATATTGGTCTTCAAACTTTGCCTTGCGCAAGCTTAAATACCACCCCTCGAATTTGTAGGTTCCGAACGGATTAGCGTTTTTAAAAGCCTTTCAAATCGAGGTTTGAGAGGTTTTATTGTTTAAAAGATACTTTTATCTTCATATTTTCACATTAACTTATTAATATCCTGTGTACCAAGTAAACAGGACATTTCCGGGCCGGGACAAGTTGACATGTCGATTTCTTGCCAAACAGCGTGGCGATCAATATGGCGAATATCTAAATACAGGGAATTTTTAAAATTTGTTGGTATAAATGGGCTAAAGAAACTCATCAAATATTTGGACTAGGGACCTTCAAACTTATGCCAAGTATTTATTTGATTGATTAGCTCAATAACTGTTTCTTGGCTCGTTTTTCGTCGATTTCCACATTTCGTCGATTTCCACAGCCTTGTCACTCTCACGTCTTGTCACCCCGCCATGCTTTAAGAGCCCCCCTTGTTATCATTTCAGTTCTACACCAGTGGTAAGGTGCTCCGCGCGCGTATAAAGACGTCAATACCGTGGTCTAAATTATGCGTTTATTGTTGCTATAGGGGAAGTTTTTGGATCACAACGAAATCAGGTTGAAATAGGCCTCACCCCAGGGATTATTCTAAGGTGCAGTGATAACCAATTTGTGCAGTGATAAATTAGATTGTTATATAGCTAGTGTGAGCACCAAACGTGATTGGCTGATTTGTAGTCACGTGGCTTTAGATAAATGCAATGTATCCCGCCCGGGTAATAAGTGAAAAATTGTTGCCCGCCCCAACCGGCTACGTACCAGCTCAGTGCTACCATAGATATAGGAGGTACTCCTATATCTATGGCTACGTACATAAATAAACAAAATGGCGGCACAAATTTATACTATTTAAACTACTGTTTTCGTGACTTTGTGTTAAAATAAAGAATGTATAAAAAGAGAAGAAAAATACATAACAGGCAACAGGTTATGCTGCTGAAACCATTTATTAGTAGGCTTTTTAAATTTTAAACTTGTTTACGCTATAGAGTTTTTGTCATGAAATACAAATATTGTTGTATGAATGTTGTTCAATGTTGATATTTGTTTCGTCGCTATATAACAAAACACTTAACGTCTTTTTCCCTCGGGAAATAGTTAGTTTTGTTTTCCCTCAAATCTCAATGTTTCCCTCGACTTCGTCTCGGGAAACATTGAGATTCTCGGGAAAACAAAACTAACTATTTCCCTCGGGAGCAGACATGCATTAAGTGTATATTATGTGCAGTGATAAAATGAGATATTGTTCAGTACCAGAAATTGGTGACAAAATGGCCACTTTGCATATAATCCACATACAATGGCTTTCAGTTTTTACTGGGAGTATACAGGGGGAAAGTTCTTAACTCAAAATTATTGCAATCTGAGAGCTCGCGTTTGCCGACCTCTTGATCAATAAAGCATTCATTTACAAATGTTTCGGTGGCATATTTATTTCGATCGGGTACTCTCTCCTAGCGGCCTAGTCGTGTTCAAGAAAATCATCTTTTATGTCATCTTCATATGGTTAAACTGCTGTCGAATACAAATATTGTTGTATGAATGTTGTTCAATGTTGATATTTGTTTCGTCGCTATATAACAAAACACTTAACGTCTTTTTCCCTCGGGAAATAGTTAGTTTTGTTTTCCCTCGAATCTCAATGTTTCCCTCGACTTCGTCTCGGGAAACATTGAGATTCTCGGGAAAATAAAACTAACTATTTCCCTCGGGAGCAGACATGCATTAAGTGTATATTATGTGCAGTGATAAAATGAGATATTGTTCAGTACCAGAAATTGGTGACAAAATGGCCACTTTGCATATAATCCACATACAATGGCTTTCAGTTTTTACTGGGAGTATACAGGGGGAAAGTTCTTAACTCAAAATTATTGCAATCTGAGAGCTCGCGTTTGCCGACCTCTTGATCAATAAAGCATTCATTTACAAATGTTTCGGTGGCATATTTATTCCGATCGGGTACTCTCTCCTAGCGGCCTAGTCGTGTTCAAGAAAATCATCTTTTATGTCATCTTCATATGGTTAAACTGCTGTCGAGCAATTTTGTTTTGAGATTTTTGACGCTGTTTGGTAACACAATCAACAGTTTATAATTAATCTATTTCACGAGTGTGAAAGACTAGATCTTGAGCAATATTGCTTGGCGTTTTGCATGCGATTCAAAAAATATCAGTTTGAAATGTGTATATTTTTGCATGAAATAGAATGGTAATGGTAATGGTTTATTAACACATTTAGTAGTAGTTACGCTAATTTACAATGTGTTTACAAATTTGGGTATAAAAATGTATATATATACTATATATTTACATGTCATTCATTAAAATTAAAGTTTTACCAGTCTATATCTATTTACAATATGTATAAAAACTACTAATGCATACCTATTTGTACATTAACTGATAAAATTTTAAAAATGATGATCCTAATCAACTAATCTAGAATTATATAAGTATATACAGTAAACTAAAGGACTGTTTTTAAAACGTTCGGTTTTAGAGGGGAAATTATATAATTTCTGACTGTTAGTTCTTGTTTCTTTTTGCCTAATGTATTTTAGTTTCTTTGGTAAGAGGCTATGAAGCTTATGGTTTGGTTCCAGCATTTTTTTAATTAGAGATACACATAATTCGTCCCTACGTTCTTCCAAAGTTTGTAATTTTGTCTCAGTTATTGCTTGGTCGTAGTCTAGGTTTTGGTAAATTATTCTAAGTACTCGTTTTTGAATTCGTTCAATGCTCTTTTTCTGCTCTTGGGTTAGACCTCCGTTCCAAATCTCCGCACCATATTCTAAAACAGGACGAATTACCGAACAGTAAAATGCTAACAAATCATCCATGGGGGCACCATAACTCTTCAAGATCTTTAATAAATACAGACGCTTGGCCGCTTTCTTTGTAATATATTCCGTATTAGTTTTCCATTTAAGATCGCAATCTAACCATATTCCCAGTAACTTATATGACTTCGTTCGAGAAACATTATGACCACCAACATAAATTGGGGGTATAGAGGTTATACTTTTCCTAAAGTCAATAATCATCTCCATACACTTTTTATAGTTTAGTTCCATTCCTTCGTCCTTTGCAAACTGTACCACCTTGTCTACGTTTATTTGAGTATTACCGATTGGGATGCCACCTAAATGGTCACTGACATTGATTACTTCCGATAATGTTGTGTCATCCATAAACATCGCTACGTCCTAGTCTTCTACGGCATTACATATTTGATCTTGGTTATTGGGTATAATAGACGTTGGTAATTGGTTTATTTTTATTATAAACGCAATAGGACCCACTTACTCCCTTGTGGAACGCCTCCCTTGATTCTTTTACAATCAGACTGTTCTCCATGGAAAGACGTTACTTGTGATCTGTTATAAAGATATGATGCAAACCAACCAACCACAGCTGGACGACCGCCGATTTGCATAAAATTTTCTAGCAGCACATTATGATTGATCAAGTCAAATGCCTTTCGAAAATCAAGAAACGTAATACGAACAATTCTTTGGGGGCTTTCCATTGCCATATGCCATTTATGTAACAAATAAATCAACGCATGTATTGTAGATGTTCCAGGCAGACCGCCAAATTGACTGCTACTGATTTTATCATAAACATCCTCATCAATCCAATCATTAACGTATGATTCTTGTACCTTTGATAATGTACTCGTTAATGAAATAGGTCTTAAAAGGTCTACCCTAGAGCAGGGTTTACTTTTAGGAATCCCACACACCCTCGAAATTTTCCAAATATCTGGGAATACTCTGCAAGTAAATGATTCGTTAAAGATGTAACATAACGGCTCGGCGAAGTATTTTGCGAATGTTTTTATTATCTTTACATTCGGGTCGAACGGACCGCTTGCTTTATTCAGGTTAAGTTTACTTAACTTATTTGCTACACTATCTGCGGTGATGTTCGGTAGTTGTTCTTCCATTCCAACATTAAACCAGCTGTCATGTACTTCCGAGTAATTACTAGTAAGACTAGTAAAATATTCGTTCATCAGATTAGCTGTGTCTTTTGAATTTAGTGGGGTATCAGTCTGTGGGCTATTTAGAATAAATTCCTGTTTACTCAGTCCAGTTATGTTTTTTATATTTTTCCACCACTGCTTTGAATTGGAACAACGAGCAGGTTTGATTTTTTCACTGTAATATTTCTGCTTCTCTTTCCGAATTTCTGAGGTAATTTTATTACGAAGCGATCTGTATTCTTCCATTCTCCCACGTTGGTACATTTTATTTCTGTTAGATATCATTTGTTTAATCCTCCCAGACATAAAGGGTTTGTCATCTTTATGGACCTTGACAATTTTTGTTGGAAAACAGTTATCAATCATTGCATTAGTAATCGATAAAAAGGCGTTCACTTTGGTGTTAATACACGAGGCCTCGTAAACCGCTGACCACGTCTCTAGACCGATACAGTCTTCAAACAAGCGCAACCTCGTTTCTTTAATGGGTCTCACTGTAATCTTTTTTATCTCATTTTTACCCCGAGCTTGTTCTTTCGATTTCCACATAATAGCGCTGTGGTCTGAACAGCCAATCGGTGCCAGAGATACTGGTGTTTCATAAAACGAATGTGCATTAGTCAGGATTAAGTCTAGAATTGCGTTACCTCTGGTTGGTGTTCTGATTACTTGTTTTAACTTACAATGATTTTTAAGGACTCTTTCCTGAAATCCATTACTTAAGGGATTAAAATCTCCAGTAATAATAATTGATGTATTTGGACTCTCGCTAATAAGAGAATCATAACAATAGCAACAATATTCATAAAAACTTTCAACTGCTTCGGTATTCATCGACGGTGGCAAGTATACACACGCAAGTGCAAGTTTTGAAATTTTTCGTGGAAGCCATTTTGGTCGGAGAGTAATCCACAGACATTCATAGTCCGAGTTGTAAAAATCTGGACAAATTTTGAAAGGAAGTGATTCTCTTATATATACGGCCACGCCTCCTCCTCTTCGAGTTGGTCTATCTTTCCTAACTATGGTAAAATCAGGAATATGTAAGGCCTCATCGGGAATAACTTCAGTAAGCCAGGTTTCAGTAACCATAATTACGTCCGCATTTTGTTGGTTAATTATAATCATCAGTTCGTCTATTTTGTTGAAAAGAGATCTAGCATTAAAAAGCAGTATATTTGGTAAAGTATGTTTAATATTCTGACGACTAGGTCTTGAAATCGGAATATTTACCAAATTATTTCTAGATGCATTCTGCCTGCAGTTGTGTTTACGTGTATTGGTAATTCGACATGAATATATTGTGTTTACGTGTATTGGTAATTCGACACTATTACTCGTTGTGACCGGACTTCTGTAAGGTTTTCTCTGAGTTAGACGTACATTAATTGGGTGGGATTTATAATTGCCAGTGTAATCATTTAAAAATAGGGGTAGGGTATGCTCATTAGTGGCCGTAGGAGCTGTCGATTTTGCGGCATCGCCGTCGGTGGGCATCGATTCAGACCCATCGGAGTGGGGATTTGTTGGAAACCGGTTCCATGAGTTATATTGAATTTCTGCAGACCCACCTCCACCTGTCTCAATATTGACTTGATGCTTTCCAGCGGTTCTAAAAAAGCCGGAGTTTCGTAATAACTGGGATAGTGCCGTTGTTGAAAATGGGTGGTTTTGTGAAAAAAGTCGCACTTTTCGCCTTTTAAACAGCTTCCCTTTCTTTCTAGGAAGGGGCATGGGGTCAGGTGCTTGGGTTTAGAAAAGATCTGATGTTCTTTGTTATTAGATTCCAGATTCGAATGGGAGAAGTCACAATTGACTCCTTTAGTGCAATGGCCACGGCGGAGAAGGAATGGACATGGGACAACACTCTTAAGATTTTGATGTCCAGAATGTGAGAGGATATGAGAGGGCGGGCAGATTTTTCAACAAGGTTGACATTTTACTAATGATCAAATGGGCCCAGTTCATCTGAAAATCTTGCTTCACTACTGAGGCAAGCAAAGGGCCTACTGGGGTAAACGCCCCAGTAGTTGTATAGTTAAAAAATGCCCTGTCTAACTCTCAGTTTCAGGTTACTGAATGAATACCTTTCAGAAACCTGTACTTTATGTACGTACTTCATTTTAAAAACCAAGTACACCTTCATTCTTAAATTTGTACCAGCCCATGTACAAGGCAATAATCATTGGAGTATACCAGTAGCCAGATTGTTAGTAAACCTACTGAAGAAAGTAATTTTTGGAGACAAGCCAAAAACACTTTGGATTTTGAACCGAATCAAAAATTGCAGTAAAAGCACTATCCACCTCCCGAGTATGCTAAATATGAATATCCTGGGCGAAGTTCACGCTTTTTTTGTATTTGCCCATATACAGTACTTGTCTAGTCACCCTAATCGTAAAAGGCTTTTGAAAGTCGTATCCGTTTCGGCTAGAGTGAAGAGTCCATCTTATGCAGTACTTGTCTGGTCACTCTTACCGTAAAAGGCTTTTGAAAGTTGTTCCGTTTCGACGAGAGTGTAGTGTCCATCTTATCATTTAGGAACACTTAAATTGAAAATTTTTGAAAGTGAGAATGTTTATGGAAAACTACACAGAAAACGGCAACTCCAAAAAAGAGAGTATCGTTTATTTCTTGACGTTCTAACACAGTCATCTTTAAATCATTTGACTAAATTATTCCGGAAGTTAGATGACTTATGATATAAAATAAAGTCAAAAAGTAGAAAAATTAAAATGCTTTCTTTATTCGTATATATTGATCGTTGTTGTGTATCTTATGAAAAATACTCAGTGGTTCTAGTATTTATAATAATCACTGCTTTCGGAGTTGTATTCTGTATAGCGTGGTATCAAAATTCCATACTTTTCCTGAACGTGACTAGAATGGTGTAATGAGGCATGAGATCGATCAAGTCAAGCACTCAGCTACAGTGCCGGATTAACCATATGGCAGAAGCGGCATATGCCACGGGCCCCGCGCTTTTGGGGGCCCCGCGCTTCTCTCTTCTATTTTTTTTCTGAATTTTTTGTTTTCTGTTTCAGCGCGGGGCCCAAAGAGCCTAAGTCCCCCAGAAAACTCGAGGCCCCAAAAAATCAACCCCAAACGTTTTCTTTTTGTTACCTGTTTTGAGTGTTTCAGCGCGGGGCCCCAAAGAGCCCAAGGTCCCCAGAAAACGTTATAGACCTCCAAAATTTGAAAATGGAGGCCCCAAAGTGTGGGGCCCCAGACCATTTTTTTGTTCCCTGTTTTAGAGCGGGATCCAAACAGCGCGGGGCCCTAAAGAGTCCAAGGCCCCAAAAAGCGAAACCCCAAACTAAAAAAAAACCCGCGAGGCCCCAAAGTTAAAAAAGGCGAGGCTCCAAAAGCAGGCCCGCAAACACAAATTTTTTTGTTCCTTCTTTGGGCAAGGGGCTCCAAAAAGCGATCGCAAGGCCAGAAATTTATAGAGTTCAGAAAATATCAAAATTTGCAGCAAACTGTTACATCTAAATGATCGCTGAATTTCGTGGAAGACGGCAGAAGTTTATATGGACGCTATCATGTTTAGCTATTTTTCCCCTGTAAATAATAATAATGTTAATGGAATAAACTGGGTTGAATTTCAGTTCGATCAAATTATTGATGTATAATTCTTTCTTTTTTTGTAAATACACAGGAAACTTTTCAACGCATGAAATACAAAAGGATATTTTAAAATTTACTGAATTCAGGGTCTAAAATGCCGTTGGGCGGTGGTGGTGGTGGGGGGGTCAAGGGGCCTCGCTCCAATAATATGCCACGGGCCCCGCGGAACGTTAATCCGGCCCTGACAACCCCCCATGACTCTGAGACCTATGGCTCTGCAGTGACTTTTGGCGAGTATTGCCCGATTGGTAAGGCATATACTGCAGCTATACTTGATTACTATAATTATGATTTTGTAGAAACATAAATGACATGAATTACGCTCTGAAACGAGAATTATTATTACCTTTTTCCGTCATCTTTTCTCCGCATGCATCCTTGTTTTACTTGCACTAGTAGTTTCGGGCAACGCTTTATTCAAAGTTGGCACGGCATCGCTCTTCAGTCGTATTCGAAACGCTTCTTTACACTCTAGTCGCTCCAGAAACTGTGGCGAATGTCCTGCTTCGTACGCGTCTTCGGCAAAATGAAGCGAGCAAATTCTACTGTTCGCCAATGGCTCGAATGCTTTGCGTTTGCAAAATTCAATCCATGCCTTTCTTCTCTTTTGCTGGGCTCCTGAGTTTCGGTTTGGAAACCGAAAGAAATGTAGACTGCTCATGTTTTTTTTAAAGTCACTTTTACAACCGTATACCGGGCAATACATGTTTGTACCTTCGTATTTTTATCATTCCCTTTCTTCGACAATCTAACTCGTATTTATACTCTCTTACTTTTCATGCTGTGGGAACTTTTTCCCAGAGGAAGTTCAATGGAGTGCGCATATTATGCACATCTTCCTCGCTTGGTTGACCACAAATCAACCCACAAACTTCCCTCACGTACGTACAATCCGTCTTATTTACTAAAATGCTAAAAGTTCCTTTTTTTGTTTAACGTTCGTATTTCCTGTTATTCAAATGTTCCAGTTTACTTATATTTTTTTTGACATAACATTGGCATGCATATATAGACTATATAAATTTTACTATCATATATTTTTACAAAATTTATTCTATACTGAATCTAAGGCTAAGCTAATAATTTACAACAGTATGTGCTTTGTTACCTTTGTACGGCTATTTCGCAAATAATGCTGTTTTACAACCTGTCACCGCCTGTGCGGAGATATTGTGATTTTCTATGAATGAAGATATAATCCAGAAATATACCGCCATAAAATATACTTCTATTCAGCCGTGCTAATGTTGCTATCTTGCCGACTGGCCCGACTGCATCATTTATCACTAGTGTTTCAGTCAAGAAATCTGAGTCGACTTTCCGTATACTCGCAATTAATAGTAATCTCGGCACAAAGTCAAAGTATAACTATATTAAATGTTCCATATGGTCGCCTATTAGCTTGTATTCGCTTTTTTATTTCTGCTGTACAATATGTGACATACATTTGCTGGACATCATAGTATGGGGTCAATCATGCCAAAATCGAAGCGCATTATACAGCAGCTCAAAAGCCTCAAATATACGCTTTTATTGTAAACAATTGTCGTAAACATATCCGCACAACACTGATACTTAATTATTGTACAATTATTTATTGGATTTGCCAGACACCTTTTATTTTTGACCTAAAAGCCAACAACGTTGTATACTAAAACAATACTATTTTATATTGTCATTTCGTCTTAACCCAGCCAATGACGTCAGTAATTTATTCAAGCATAAATTAGCATACGCGTTTATTTTCAAGATGGCGGACGAAGCTCGAACAGGCTTCAACTTTATCTCAACATTTCTCAACAACTAAACGCGATGGACACGTGAAAATACAAAATTAAGTATTCCGTAGGTAGGTTTAATAGATATAAGCAATAAAAATTTTCGTTGCCAATGTCCTTTAAGGCCAGTTACAGCTAGTGGGTCTGAACCATACTTTATCTCCCTTTGTAACCTATTTGTTAGTTCGTCAAAGCTCGACAGAAGGTCGTGTTAATCCATGTCGTCATATTGAGGATAGCTCTCCTGTCTCTCCTCTAACTTAGTGTCATCGTAGTCTCCAGTGTCCTCCTCATATACTAACCTATGTTATGGACTTAATGTCTTCAGCTGGTATCCAACTGTTAAACTTGGTACCGTAACCTAACCATTTAACGAAAGCCATCTTCTTACCTTTCACTGTCCTTCTTCTTAGTTCTTTCTCTATCTTGAAATCGGGTTGGCTTCCCTCAGCGCCATAAAGCTCCTGTTCATAGAACCTACCAATTATTGGTTCACCAGCACTGTCTTTGATTGTGTATGTGTTTGATTGAGCGTGGTACACTTCCATCACAGTGAATATTTCCTCTGTGAAATTTGCCTTGTACCCCTTTGTGAACACTGATTTGTACTTTGAAATCCTGACACTTTCTCCGATAGCAAACTTTGGCTCTGGTGGTTCACCTAGGTCATGACTGAAAAGTGCCTTCCATACTTCAGTCCAGTTGGACTCATTAACACTATCCGGTCTTGTTTTAATTGATCTGTTCACTGAACTGTTGTAATTATCGGTTAAGTTTTGAAGGACATCTAACCCAAATTATGAACCGGCACTGTAGAAGTACTTCCACATTAATGCTTTCAGTGTTCTGTTGAACCTTTCCACAACTGCAGCCTTTTAAGTCTGAGTAAGTGGAGAAAAACTCAATGTTATGTTTGTTAAGCAACGACTTTACTTCTTTGTTGCCTTGATCAAAACTCTGTGCCTTGATCAAACTGAACAAATTTTGGGTACTTCCCGAAGTTATTCTTTAATTGCTCTAAACAGGTGCTAACAGCGTCCTTCATTGTCGTCGCGTTTTTGTCATGCTGTGAATAAAAAGTGGGTCACTGATCATGTAAGTGGAAGTTCTATCAGTAGTGGCTTCACAATGACAGGTGATATTGACATGGGAGGTCATAGAATAACTGGTCTTCCTGACGGGTCAGGTGGTGATTCCTCTGCACTGTCAAGTAAAACGATAGACAGTTGGGGTCTGCAGTTTGTGAAACGTGATGGCGGGACTCTAGCTAGCACCTTGACGCAAACGACTTTGAGATAACTCGTGTGGCTAATCCAACAACTGACGGGTCTGCTGTTTCCAAGAAGTGGGTCACTGATCATGTAAGTGGAAGTACAATGAATACAGGAGGATTCATGATGATAGGCAGTATTGCTATGGGTGGACACACCATTGAGAAGCTTAGTTTGTCTTCACCTATTAACCCCAATAGGGAATCTGTACCTAACACTGGATGGGTTACAGACAAGTTTATGAGTAAGGTAGGCGGTCTGGTGGAAGGTGATATTAACATGGGAGATTCAAGTGATATTGTGAACCTCCGCGATCCCACTAATGCGATGGATGCTGTGAACAAGCAGTGGATGGAAAGTAACTTTGCTCGTACTATTGTCAGTGGAAAGTACGTTGAAAACAGGCATCACAAGGTGGCACAATGGGTGTGGGGTTATCGTGGAGTTGCATTTGCTGACACGAGGTATCACACCTACTGTCACGACCAGATTCCACCCTCGTGGAGAACTGATACTATTAACAGTTTGACTAACATCAATTTGGAATCAATCAATATTAAATCTGATGCCTCCATTCTCACTGACATCACCAACGTGAACCTAGAACTGATTCTACGTGTGTCAATCTATGTGAAGCATTCCAACGGTAAATTCGCACAGCAGAAGAGGGATATTGTCGTTGGGACTATCGATTTGACTAGGCTTCAGCATTGCTACTTCCTTGGAACATTTCAGAGTGATGGTGCGAGTACCGCTTGTTATGTGTTCAAGGGAAGCACTGAATACTACATTGGTGGACAAGCTGAGCTGGTTGACAATACTATGGCATGGTGTGTGATAGTCAAGCATGAACAATCAATGCCCACTAGAAAGAGCATGGATATGTCCTTCTGTTGGTCTCTATTGTACTCAGGGTCATACGGTGGATAATATGTTGTTTTTTTCATACAGAAATGTTGTGCTTAGGTTGTGTGAGTAAAGTTAATTCTGAAAACGATGAATACCAGTCATGTGTACCATGTCTAGGTAATATTTGTAGATGTCCAAAAAGGGTAAGTCTGCAAACCAAAAAAAAGTATTGAAAAAGGTGCGATCAATTTCTCTGTGTCCAATGATATTAACATAGAAGTATACACATAGAACGAAAAACAAGGTGTAAATAAGACCGATAATCCACATGAAACATAGGGTGGTATATTACACAGTCAAGGCGAACGGAACGTTGAATCACCTCCACAATAGCATAAATTCGTTTTCTAAGCATTTATAATAAATTTTAAAAAGTGGTCTCAGAATCCCCCTACAATCTACTTTTCAACAGACTTGTATCACAAAACTTCAAACTGAAAAGTAGTTAGGGAAAGGGGGGTTCGAGATCACTTTGCCCCGTTTTCAACGGGGCGAAGTGGTCTCGTCCCCGCTTTCCCTATACTACTCCTTTCTCACATTTTAGAAATTACTTGAAATTTTTATATTACCAGTGACAGGACCTAACTATAAACAGGTCCTATAGATTTATTGTACATGCATCCTCTGTAATGTTAAATAATAATATTTGTTATTTTCTGATTGCACAATAATGATGCAAGCCTAATTACCACAGGTTTTCAAATTCATGGTCTGATGCAGGCCTGTTTGAATTTCAAGGTCATTAGTGTTAATTAGTGGTCCTAATCAAGATGGGTTGGGTTTGTTTTTAATGACTACATGTTGAGCAAATTCCTAATCACAGTCTCTTTTTCTGCATGCAATATAGTACACATCGCATTTAATTGGCACTTATTTGCTCTCTCAATCTGATAATTTTATCATATAATTTTTAGCACAGTTTTCCTAGCTGAACTCAGTTGTTCCTGATATTTGTTTATTTAATTATGAGCTTCCTGATATTTATTTATTTAAAATGTAACAAGAATAAAAAGTGTGAAGAACTAGAGGGTTCAGTGACGTAGCCAGCCTGACTATTTTCTCCTGCCATGCAAATATATCTGTGTTCATAGACTGTAAAAACAATGATTTTCTAAAGAAATGAATAATGATAATGCTTTGAAATTTACATAGCAGGAGTAAATTTTCAGGCTGGCTACGCTACTGAGAGGGTTCCTAGGACACAACTGCCAATCCAGTCATACAGTATAATCATCAAAACTAGAGGTTTTCTAGGAAAATTACATGTAACCCATTTACTGGCAGTACTCTACCACTGCCATGTAAAATCGTCTGACGTTAAGCCGAGTAAATACTAAAGTAGGGAGCATTGGGATGCATTGCCAGTGGATTTAACTAACAATCAGCTTCAGTTTGTCACCAGATAGAGATAAATATTGTGGGATGAAGGGCCACTCACGTCCGAACCTTTGATGTGTGTTTAGCCACACATGTTGCATACACATATTGACATATTTGATTAACCCATTAACTGGCAATGCATCCAAATGCACCCTACTTTACTATTTTCTCTGTCCAATACCAGACAAATTTGCATGTTATTGGTAGGGTAATGGTAGTTAATGGGTTAATTAAGGGGCGAAAACTTCAGTATTATGGCTGAAGGGTGTGAGCTTGTTTTGCCCGACCAATTAAATGCATGGTCTTGCCAAAGTTGTGTCTGATGGGCGAATCACCAAAGAATAGCAGCTAGTATGTACAGCACGTACCTATTTGTGCAAATGAGCCATTTAGCACAGACAACTATTTAAAACATATCACTGTTTCAAACGTAAACGATGTAAAACAAACCACTATTTTATAGAGGTGTTTACATTGATATTGTTTTGAGTTTTCTAATAATTGACCACAAATGTCAGTTGGTACATCTGATAATTTATTTCAAGTAATATTTTAGCAGGAAAATAAAATATCGTGTTTATTTAGCAAACCAAGGCAGGCGAGAAGGATGGGGGGGGGGCAAAATACCTGTGACACGGTGTGCTCAAAGAGGCCCGAAAATCTATGATTTAAAAAATGGACTTTGGTATGGCCATTGGTGCAACAGTCATCAAAGGGAACAGGTGCCTGTGTTCACCAAATTGTGCAGGGCCAGTGGTTGGCTCCCACTACCTTGGGTAAAATTGTATTTTTGCCAATGGCAACAGCTTCAGAAGGTTTAATTTCAATAATCTCTAATGTTTTTTTTTAATTTTTAGAATGTTTATCAGTGAAAGACAGCATGCAAAGTAACAAGATTTCTACAGGGGCGGATCCAGACCGATGCCAACGATGCGAATGCATCGGTCAAAATTGAGAAATCATGTTGCTATGCTGTCAATACGTAGTCAAGCACTCAGTAATAGAATATCTTTGAATCTCTCCAGCTATCAAACAGCAAATATTTGCTTAAACTTGACTCCATGTCAGGAATACACTATTTAGGATGAAATTCAATTTAAATAGTCTCAATAACAGTCGAAATTGTCAAAATAAGTCAATATTCGACGTGGGATCGCAAAAGTGTATTTTCTGTTATTTACTCTTTAATTATTTTGCGACACTTAAGCTTCAACAATTTCGCGACAAAATATGTTATTTTTTACCGCATCCTTTGACGTCACAGTAGAAAGTCAATGCATCACCTACGTCACTGTAGATTTGGTTTGCATCGATTTTCAGCCAGTTTGCATCAGTGAATGCATCGGTCGCGAGTCCTTCTCCGCGTGAAATCTACTGTGACATCAAATCTATTGTTTTAGAGCTCTACGTCACGGTAGATTTTCCCGCTGAGCGATGCATCGCGTGCAGATTGCGGGCGCTCGCATCGGTCCACTGATGTAAATCTACTGTGACGTAACGAGGCATTCGATACAAGTCATGGCGGCAAGGATATGCAAACACTATATGCAAATGAGACAAATAATGCTAAGAAATATCTCTCGAAATTGACGGAGAACAAATAATTTACAGTCGAATTAATTACCAAGGCTTGGAATGAATCCAATCTTTCAACTGAGTACAAGAATTGTAGTATATTTTATATACCGTGAGATGCCCACTATGTGAAACTCGAACTGAGGGCTCTAAAGTAAGTGGAATTTATCTGTATTTTACAGTGTAGTACATTGTTCAGTTCAAGAAGTGTATAATGTGTATAATAAGAAGTGGAAAATGGGCTTGACAGTTAATGTAGATTTGTATGTATTAACATAATAATTAAAGTTTGTGTCTATTTAATACTGTTGTTTATACCAGCAAGGGGGGGGGGAGGGGATGAGGTAGTTTGACATTTTACAGTCTTTACAGAGGTTTGCTTGTCTGGAGGCAAACCAGCCACAATACCAAACTTGACAGCTTGCTTTATTGAGGCAAATTTCATCTCTGTTTACATGGGATTATAACCTGTGCCCAGAACTTTTTGCATCTACTGATTTTTAATCAGTAGAAGCATTGTCAGGACGTAGGTAGGTATATGTCGAGAAAAGGCACACTTGATGATATATTGATGACGTATCGATGTAATAGCGAGCATAGACCGAAAGTCGGTTATCTACGGTTAGTTCCGCTGTTGTCCATAAATGATACATTGATACTGTAAATAACACGAGTACTCAATAAAATGGTTGCGGATAATAATAATAACACGAGCGGAGTGCAATACAAAGAATGCCGTATAACTGCGCGAGACGATGATTCGGTTCAGTGCACAAAAGTTTTAGTCATTATCAAGCGAGATCGTATCAATATTACACGAGTACAATAAAATGGTTTTGTCAATAACACGAGCGGAGTGCAATACGAAGAATACCGTATAGGCGGTATACCTGCGCGAGAGGATGACGAC